ATACCTATTTAATACCTAATAGGTATTATTAGCTCTTGATATATATATATATCTATATTCTTTATTTATTTTATTATATTGATATTGATTATTGAATCAATCGATTATTGGGGATTGATCAGTGAAAGTCGCGGTGAGGGTGGATGCCGGGCGTAATGCTGTTGTGTTGCTTGCGACAGGTGTCCGGACGCAGTGTCTATGATGAGCAACGTTGATAATCACATACAGTACATCGGCAGCTCTGTCGGCTATCTACACGAACAGTGCAAGACGCATCCTGTTATCTTGCAGACGGGCAAGGTAAGTGAGAGGCTGTTGCCATGGCAACCGTTCACAGCCGCATGCCGTTGCCGCGAGCGATCGTTTAAAATGTCACAATTTTTTTGCGCGAGACTTCGCTTGAGTTGATTGAGAAGCGGAAAAAGTTTGAATAATGTAAAGGTTGAAGGGTAGAATGGAAACTGTCAATAGTGTAGAATAAATGTGGAGTTCGGAATAAAATCAGGGAAATACAGAAAAACGCGTTGAATTTGGAATAAAATCGGGGGAAAGTATAGAAATACATGAGTAAATTGATGGGTAGAAATTTTGGTGATAAACATGGAATTCTGAACAAAAAATTGTGGATAGACATACTGTGATAATAAATGTAGAAATACGTGTAAAAAATTGTGGTTAGAAATACGACTAGAAACAAAAAGTGTCGAAATAAACGCGCGATTCGGAGTGACATCGTATGCAGAGGATGTATGTTTAATAAACGTGATGTCGTCGGGCGTGCGCAGGAGAACACGAACGTCGTGAGCCTCCACGATAAGACCCACTCGGCGATGACGGGAGTGAGAGAGCTTCACGGTCGCCTAAACGCCTTCAAACAACATCTAGAAAACGTGAGTCTGTGTGTGTATGTGTCTGTCAGTCTGTCTGCAGGGGCGTGTACAGGATTTGTAGCAGGGGAGGGGGGGTCTAACCGTAACCCAAACTTGCAAAGGGGTGGTCTATCTATATATATACGTAGAAGTAAAAACAAAAAGACACCCATGTTGATATAGAAAATAAACATAGAAAAATAGAATGAGGTGTCAAACTTTAACTGAGCGAACTTTCTAGAGCAGTGGTTGCCAGCCTTTTGGACTCTCCGTACCCCTAATTTTTTCCTGCTATCTCCTGGTACCCCTTCAC